GCAAAGATAAGTTAATGATTAATGTAACCAAACTTTCTGCATATAGACTGATTGCTTGCTTTTATTTCCTATAATGTATAAACTGTACTCTATACTGTTATAATAGCTATCATTGATTATTAAAACTGACATTCAGCAAAAGAGATGGTGTGTTTCGAATTTTCAATGAAAATGAAAGCAGGCAGTGAATTTATAGACTCTGCTTTGTTATAAATATGCACACAGCGAAGATGACGCTCATATATGCAGCACGACGCCTCAACATTTCTGCTGTCTGTTAAGTTGTTAATATCAAAATGAAAATAGCAGTTTCTTACATCACGTTTTCATGTTATTGAAACAACGCATGTATCTAGGATGATGTGAATGAGGTTATGTAGTACACTGTTCCCTTTGAAGGTTTACCCGACATGTCCTCGGGAGTAGGTTTTCCATATCTAACTTGCTAAGTCTGAACTTACAAGGAGAGGATGCAGGACTGAACTGTGTGTGTAGGCTACTTAATATTGAGGGAAAGCCCCAATCAGAGAGGCCAATGTCTGCAGCCCCGCCTCTGTTTTCAGATGTCTCCGTTTTCCCCCATCAACACTGAGACGGAGCAGAATGAAAACGGCCTCTTCAGCGTTTCCAAAACGTTCCGTTTTTGGCGCTCAAAAACTCTGACGTAGTGAGGACGGATGGCAGAACCGTAGCAAAACTTAAGCGTTTTAAAGCAAAAACACAGTGTAAATGGGGCCTAAGAATGTATTTTGAATTTTGCCAAAACATCCCATTGTCTAATGACGAAAATGCAAATGTACTTTTCCAACACTTAGCATATATGCAAATGATGTTTACATTTTCCTACCATTTCTGCTTCATTTACACATCTATCCAATTTCAGTATTACATTTTGAATTTAATTTAGTAACATTTATAACTGCGTTATATACGGTGCTCGGCATATATAAGTACACCCCTCACTATCTTTTAAATTCATAATTTTTAATAGGAAGCTCTACAATATTATATCTGTGCATATACATTACATTAGTCAGTACTGAAGCCTAACAAAATAACTAACGATAACGCTCCAAAAACTAGTACAGCTGTAATAGAAAAATAATAAATACCATAAATAAAAATAAATAAATTGTGAAAATTTTGTAGGTTGTAATTTAGTTTTGCAATATTTGGCTTGAATTCAATTGTGTTATCGTTCAATTTCTAAATATATTTGGTGACTAAATAATATTTTAATAATTATATCTGTGTAATAAATCTGTTTTGTTTAAATGCACCAAAACACACTGCCTATATTCACTGAGAAATGAATCAAAATGTTTTTCCATTTTTCGAAATGGGGTGTACTCAATATGCTGAGCACTGTACATATTAAAACTGTATTAGGAAATTGCACATGTACAACTTTATTTTGCACCAAACTTTGCACATATGTTTTACCTTTAATGTGCTTTTGGAATGTTTTCATGCACTCTGGGTTGATTTTGAGGCTTATTTTGGACTCAACTTTCTCTGTGCTTCACCAAATCACATGACTTTTGCTAATAAATCTTCTTTTGGGAAAATGCTTTTTGGGAAAATGTTTGAAACTCAACAATACACTGGGCAAACTGACTTCCCTTTGGCTATGTTGATGCTGTTTTTATCCCATTTCATCCCACTTACATTATATAAACACTTTTTAAATGCCAAGGAATGACAGCATATAATCATGCATATTTTAATATGGTTTACCCTGTTGGAAAGAGGTAAAATGTGCAATCTGTTGCCGTGCAAAACAAGTTTAGTGTCTCGGTGTGTGTGTGTATATGTGTAAGAGAGCCTTGCATACTTGTCTTGATAACTACAGAAAACTGTTGCGAGGGGGTTAAAGTCCCTGACGTTTGGCTGAGATCAAGACCTTCTATTACGTTTGGCTAGCTAAAGCGATCTACTCCCAGAAGAGGATAGAAATCAGGGGCTGTGCGATTCACTTCCAGAAAGAAGTTAAAATTGGGGGTGGGGGGTGGAGGAGTAATTTAGTAAAGCTGCTTAGCCATTTGATCATAGGTGAAAAAAAAAATCTGTTGGAGACGTCCAATAGATTAAAAGGTACCGAAAAAGTCCACAGAGTGGGGAGTGATCACCAGAATGGGCAAGTCCCAGAGTAAAGTGAGAAAATATGATACACCGTTGTTTTGGAATATGGAAAAACCACCTTTACTCTGTTTTCATCTTATTTGTTTTTATTTTATTAATGCTCGTCTCTTTTATTCCTGTTTAGAAATTTCGCTATACGAAAGTGTAGTGACAAATAAAGGCTTGATTGAAATTGAAATTATGTAAAGAACTTTGAAATGCCAGTGTATGAAATGTGCTATAGAAATAAACGTGCCTTGTTTACATTAGTTTACATTACAACTAATGATCAACAGTAAAAATGACAACTTTGCCTCTTTCCAATAGAGAAAACCTGCAATCAGATATGCATGATTATATGAGGTCATGGCTTTGCAATCAATAAATGTGATTATAATGGAAGTCAATGGGGCAAAAACAGCCACTAACATAACCAAAGGGGAGTCAACTTGCCCAGAGTGTATTGTTAAGTTGAACATTTTCCCAAAAAGCATTTTCCCAAAATATAATAGTCAGCAAAAATCATCCCATTTGCTGAAACACAGAGTAAGTTGTGGCCAAATTAAGCCTCAAAATCCCCCCAGAGTGGATGAAACCGAATCGACAGCACACAAGGGTTACTATGCATCCACCATGACATGTGCAAAATAAACATGTACATTTGAAATCAACTTAATGCAGTTTTAATGTAGCAAATTTACTACCAACATAATCAAAGAGGGGTCAATTTAAATAATATACAAGGGTTAAGTAAAGAAATACACAGCCGTTTTGCATACTGCATTGACAATATGAATCTTAGTAATGATACTCACACATTCTGCTCTTAATTTCCCCCACAAACACAAGGAATAATGCAGTTCCACAGTGTTTTAAGACTTAATCAGTAATGAAATGCTGTAAATTCTTTGGTAAACGTTCATAGCTGGTGTGTGTTTGAGTAGGTGAGCTCACAAACCGCTAGAAAATACCAAACTATAGCTGATGAGGAGGAGTCTGTGACGCTCTTTGGTGTTTCCTTCTTGAATGCTGGTGGAAAGGTGGCGAGAGCGGAATAAATAGAAAGAGATCCCTAACGAAGCGAGAATATGATACGAAGAATACATTTGACAGATTTCATATACAATTTTTAATACATACTGTAAAATATTTATAGGAAATAAACCTCCCGTCTGAGCTGCGTTTGATCAGGGAAACCCATTGCTAGGGCTTACTTGTAAAATCTCAAAAAACAGCTTTGCATGCGGTGTAACACTGGACGTGATGCTTTAAACTCCCATCATGCAACAGGATGAATCTCAGGAAAACAAATGAAGAATTATATATTACATTTCTTTGCATATCGACCTTGTGTTTATGAAAACAGAGCTCTTTTATGAACAAATGTTGGCTATATTTTCAAGAAAATAGAGCATATTTCACACAGCATTTGTGTTTTTTTATTGACAATACAAACTTTTATTAAACTGAGCACATTTAACAGTTAATTTTGGCAAAGTTGGTTTATATTGACACTTTTCATTCAGATGAAGCCATGATTTTACTGAAAACTGTGGATTATTTAACACTTTTTTGGGGGCATTTTCATTGAGGGTGTACTCACACTAGATACAGTTGCCTTGTGCCAAAGTGCCACAAATTATCATGAAAGTCCTCGTGCTGCAGGTATTAGGAGGTTTGCTGAAGGTGCAGCTGTCGTGCAGTGAGGGGTTTGTATCTTTAATAAACTACAACAGTTTGCGTTAGGAATGATTGTTAAATCCATATGAAATAGTCCCTTAAAAGTGACATTGGGTCTTCGGTTTTGGGGCTCAGACACACTTTGCACTCTACAAGCGTACCGCGCCAAAGCCCAACTGAACTGCCCTCTGGCACGCCTCTTCCAACCTGGCGTGCATTTCCCAAAACCATCGTTAGCAAACAAAGGTCGAAAGTTCCGTCGGTACAAACATAGTTTGTTGATTTGCCGTTCCTCAAATCCATCGTTCCAACGAACATTCACAAACTGCGTCGCGGAACCGTGCACTTGCAACTACACCTCTGGAGCTGCAGTTAGAAACATAGTTCCTGGCTGTGTTCTATTCCCACTTATCTCCCCAATGCCCTATTCATTTAGAACGTTTTAACATTTAAACTTGGAATAAACAAAAATAAAATAAGCATTAAAGTCATCTCTCTTTGGTTTCAAAGTATTTTTAAAGTTCAGTCTTCATGTTTACAATTGTGCTCCCTCTGCAGTGCACTTAAATAACATTGATGTCATTTTGAACACAACCTCATGGCGAAAGCTATAGGTGACCTACTATTTAAAAGCAGAATTTACGTCACGTCTCCAAAGCTTGTGAACACAAAAAACACAGGATACGCTAATGCTTTTCATTTATAGTAGAGAAACTACGGGTTTTGAGAAACACTCGTCACTACATCTGTCTTTTCCCAACCGATGCATCATACTATGATAGTTCAGCTGCGAGTTACATCGTTGTTTGGGAAACGCACCCCTGGCCGGGGTCGCCCAACTGAACCATGCCTGGGCCTGATTTGGAGCACTCACACGTGTCAAACAAACTGAGAAACACGCCCGGGCACGGTTCAGATAGTGTAGTGTGAGTGCACCCTGAGTTTTCATGAAAAGTGAGCTCTTCTAAACAACAAATTTGCACACTATTGACTTGATACTTTTACATTTTCATTTATTTTTAATGTAAACTGAGCACATTTATCATTCATGACTGTACATTTCGACATTATTTTATTGAAAATGTTGCACATTTCTGTCCAAAACTTGAGCGTTTTGACAATGCAAACTTTTATTAAAACAAAGCACAATCCCTAGTGAATTTTGGCCTTTTTTTTTTTTTTTTTTTTTTTACATTCTTCTAAAAAAGACCTCATATATGTATTTTAAGATCCTGTTAATTAAAATGAAGCCACTTAAACGACACTGTGGCTTTATTTGAATGAAAACTGTGCATATATTTATGTTTTTGGCATCAAATTTGTGCATTATTGTCTAAAAAACTGTACTTTACATTTTTATTTATTTTAATGTAAACGGACCACATGTATCATTCATCACTGCACATTTTGACATTATTTTAATAAAAAAGTTGCACATTTCTAACCAAAACTTGTGCATTGACAATGCAAACTTTCATTAAAACAGAGCACAATTCTCAGTGAATTTTGGCTTTTCTTTTATGTTCTTGAGAAGAAGATATTCCACCTCATTTCTGTACTTTAAGATAATGTTCATGAAAACAACCCCCTTAAATGACACCATGGCTTTATTTTAATGAAAACTCTGCATATTTATCTATTTGACATCGAAATTGTGCATTGGCTTGAATCTTCACTTTGTTTTGCACATTTTGAGATTATTTGTATGTAAACTGAGCACATTTATCATTCATCACTGCACATTTTGACATTATTTTAATGAAAATGTTGCACATTTCTAACAAAACTTGTGCATTCCGACAATGCATACCTTTATTAAAACGGAGCACACTTCTCAGTGAACTTTGGCATTTTTATTATTATTATTTTATTCTTTATTTATTAAAACAAAGCCACTTAAATGACATTGTGGCTTTATTTAAATGAAAACTGTGAATAGTTTTGCGGTATTTTGATATTGTTTTTATAAAAATTGAGGTTGTTTTTGCATAAAATTGTTTAATATTATCATGAAACTGAACATTTGGATTTGGTTTAGCATGTTTTTGCATTTTGACATTGCTTTAATGCAAACTGAGCACATTATATTTATGGAGATTTACAACATTTCTTACCAAAAATGTAGCATTTTGGTATTATTATTATGAAAAGAAAAAACATCTTTCTGCTTTTATTTAAGAATTACTGATTTTGGCATTATTATAATGGTTTCTCAAAGCGGTGCCTTATTGTCATGAAAGCAGCACATTATTGCCAAATGTTTGGATTCTTTTTTGCACATTTTGACATTATTTTAATGCAAACTGAGCACATTTAACAACACCGCACATTAATTTTTTTTTACCATATTTCATACCAAAATGTAGCATTTGCTATAATTTTCATTAAAAAAAAACACATATTTATGCCTTTATTTTGGAATTATTGATTTTGGCATTTCTATAATGGTATCTGGGATCAAAATGGTGCATTATCATCATGAAAGCAGCACATTATTGCCAAATTTTTGGATTCTTTTTAGCACATTTTGACATTATTTTAATGCCAAGCGAGCACATTTAACATCACTGCACATTTTCATAAAAATTTACCACATTTCTTATAATAATTTAGCATTTCGGTATAAAAAGGCACATATTTTTGCCTCTTTCTGGGGAATTTTGGCATTGTTATTTATTTTTTAGAGTTTATCTCTATTTAAACATCAAACTGGTGCATTATTGTCATGAAAGCAGCATATTACTGCTAAATGTTTGAATTCTTTTTCTCACATTTTGACATAATTTCAATGCAAATTGAGCACATTTAACATCACCGCACATTTTCATTAAAATCTACCATATTTCTTATCAAAATGTAGCATTTTGGTGTGTAAAAACACAGATTTTTGCCTCTTTATGGGGAATTTTGGCATTGTTATTTATTTTTATTTTTGAGATTATCTCTATTTAAACATCAAACTGGTGCATTATTGTCATGAAAGCAGCATATTACTGCTAAATGTTTGGATTTTTTATCTCATATTTTGACATTATTTTAACCCTCTAAACAGTTAAAAGCATAGATTTTGCCTGTTTCTAAAATTTAATTTGAGCCTGAAAATTGAGCACATTTAAAATCACTAGACATTTTCAGTAAAATTTACCACATTTCTTATCAAAATGTAGCATTTTGGTGTAAAAAAACACAGATTTTTGCCTCTCTTGGGGGAATTTTAGCATTATTAATAATTTTGGGGGGGGTTATCTTTTTAACATCAAACTGGTGCACTGTTATCATGAAAGTAGCACATTTTTGCCAAATGTTTGGATTCTTTTTGCACATTTTGACATTCTTTTAATGCCAAGCCAGCACATTAAACATCACTGCACATTTTCATTAAAATTAACCACATTTCTTATAATAATTTAGCATTTTGGGATGAAAAAGCACATATTTGTGCCTCTTAAGGGGGAATTTTGGCATTGGTATTTTTTTAGAGATTATCTCTATTTAAACATCAAACTGTTCCATTATTGTCATGAAAGCAGCACATTTTCAGCATTATTTCACAATTATTTTAATGCAAATTGAGCACATTTAACATCACTGCACATTTTCATTCAAATTAAAAATTTACCATATTTCTTATCAATATGTAGCATTTTGGTGTGAAAAAAACTGATTTTTGCCTCGTTTGGTGGAATTTTGGCATTATTATAATTAATTTTTTTTTTTGGAGGGGGGGGTGTTATCTTTTTAACTTCAAACTGGTGCATTATCATCATGAAAGCAGCACATTTTTGCCAAATATTTGGATTCTTTTTTGCACATTTTGACATTATTTTAATGCAAATTGAGCACATTTAACATCACTGCACATTTCCATTAAAAGTTACCACATATCTTATAATAATTTAGCATTTTGGTGGAAAAAAACACTTATTTTTGACTCTTTTGGGGGAATTTTGGCATTGTTATTTGTTTATTTGCAGATTATCTCAATTTGACATCAAACTGGTGCATTATTGTCATGAAAGCAGCACATTTTCAGCAAACGTTTGGATTCTTTCTCACATTTTGACATAATATTAATGCAAACAGCACATTTATCATCACTGCACATTTCTACAATATTTTGATAAGATAAATATTAGCATTTAGGTATCATTCCTTTTTAAAAAGTGCCTATTAAATGTCATTTTGGGGGGAATTTTGGCATTATATTGATTCAAAACACCACTTATTACTATTTTTTGAGCATTTTTAAAAATACACAACCATTGTGTGTGCATAATCTGCCTTTATTTTCTTGAAAATGTCGCACATTTGCCAATAAGTTTGGCATTTTAGCTTAATTTCCATTAAACCAAGCACATTTATCCCTAAAACGTGCATTTTGACACTATTATCATGATAAAACCAAGTAGATTTGCCACTTAATTGACCATTTAGTTAAAAAAATAAATAAATAAACATTATTCTATCCACCAAAGTCTTCATTTAATCGCGTCTTTTCATGAGATTCACCCAAAGTCCTGCAAACTGAAGTCAAACCCGCACACACACACACACACACACACACACACACACACGCACACGTCTTCAAACACTGTGTCCGCTCGCTAAAACCTTCATGCGTAAACTAGTAAAATCCACAAGACACCCGGGTATAAAAGAAGCAGTCTGCATGTATATTAAATATCAGAGCTGCAGCATGTCTATGTACAGCGGAGTAAAAGTGCTGGGACTGACATCCGTGTGAATAATACTGTAAAAAACGGAGCGCGGCTCAGCGTCCTTCATACTTGCCCGTATTTTTCTGGTCTCGCTCTGATACGTTCGGGCTCCGGGCGGGACTCACAGGCTTAGTGAGGATCATGGGACGGAGGAAACGCTGCTCTCAGATCAGTCTGGAGTTTTTCAGGAACTGAATGAGGACTTTGTAGATGAAGGTGTATTGTGAGAGTGTCTGTACCATCATCATTCGCTGCTGCCGGAGCAGGTTCAGAACCGTCGGGACGTCCAGCATCTGTTTGGACACATCGACATGCAATTAATGAACTGCTGTGTTTAAATCATGAGTCTGAATGATGCGTTTTAAAAGGATTACATAAGACAAAGCAAGTCAGGATTGATTATTAAGCTGATTTAAGCGCACTACATAAAATTATTGGAAAGTTAAAACCTTTCAAAACTGTGAAAAACAACCAAGAATAATAATATGAATAAATGAAATATAATATGAACAATAATAAAACTAACAGTTGAAGTTATAATATTAGACTAGATTTTTTTTAAGAGACTAGTATTCAGCTTAAAGTGACATTTAAAGGCTTAACTAAGGTTCAGAAGGCAAGTTTGTTATGGACACAATCGAAAACAATTATTGCTTTAGGGGGCTAATAATATTGATCTTAAATGAGCGCCATTAACAGGGTTTATACTTTAGGTGGGCATTGATTAAATGTTTTTTTTTTTATCTAGACTTCTCACTGTAATCTTGAAATTAATCTAGATCAGTGGTTCTCAAACTGTGGTATGTGTACCACTAATGGGACGCGGGTTTCCTTCTAGTGGTATGCGGAGGTAAACTAAATAATGGAAGAAAGCTGTTCCCTGAAGCGTATGATCACATCTGTGTGCTTAGAATGCTTACTTTAGTGCATCGCGACATCAGATGCTAAAAATCCACCCGCTTTGGTGCAGAGCCAGAGAATGTGTGGCAGCGGCGATTGTGGAGGAGATACACATTTGGGTCGCGGGAACATTTTCAGTGGGTCGCAGAGTGTGTGTTTAAAAAGAAAACAGCAAAAGTAAAACAATTAAATTACAAAGTAAAACAAAGTAAAATTTTTACTTATTTTGCTTATACCGGACTTTTATTTTGAAATGTGTGCGCAACAACCCTACCGTTTGACATGTGAAATTTCATTTAATTATTGCAACAAATATGTCAAGCACAAGTACGACCCCGAATATGTAAAGTATGGATATATATATATTGACGACAAAAAAGACTTAAAGCCTCGGTGTCATATGTAGTGAGGTGCTTTTAAACAACATTTAGAAACCAGAAAACATGTTTTATTAACAGTTTATTATTAACAGTATTTGTCGTTTTTACTTTGTAATATTTCTATAATTTGATTCATTTTGTTAAATAACAGCAATAAAATAGTATTTCATTGTAAGTCTTGGTGAATTTCTTATGATGCATCTGTCACTACTTGTTTATGTTAAAAATAAATACAAAAAAGTATAATTGCTAAAATTGTATTATAGTTCCTAAAAAGTTGGGTCACGGCTTGATGACCATGTAAAAATGTGGGTCCCATGGCCAAACCAGTTGAGAACCCCTGCTCTAGAGAAGCGCTTTTGCAGACCAGTACTGTTGTGTTGGCATTTCAGTTACTACCTCAGGAATCTTCTCATGCTGCATCATTGTTATAGAAATTTGTGTTTGTGTCTGTGTAAAACAATGCATGTTTTCGATGTTATTTGTTTTGTTAAGCGTTAGTTTTGTAAAGTTTGTTTTGTTAACCAAAGGTGGCTTTCTGTTAATTTGTTACCTCAGATTTAGGCTAATTAATCAGGATGTGATTCAAATGTCCCGGGACACAAATCAAGCAACTTTGCCATGCTTGAAGCTAGAATAACTGAAGTTAGTCTCTGTGTACGGTTAACACAAACTGCAATTAATCTGCCTCATCATTATGGTGGTACTTGGAGAGACGATTTTTTTCTGAGGTGGTACTTGATGAAAAAAGTTTGAGAACCTCTGATCTAGTTTTAAATGGCTCATTTGAATTCTGCCGAAAGGCAATTATTAGTGGCATTATTGAAGAAAACACCGCAATTAAACTTTAACCGTCATGTAGGACTTTGGCATATTTTCCCACAAGATCCAGACACATGGCTGTCAGTAAAGGGCCGCATACACACACATAAATCGCGAAATGCAGACGTTTTTTCTTTCCATTTGGCGTTTATTTTAGCCGCAACCCATCTCTGGGAAACATCCACACACACTCATACACTATGGACAATTTAGCCTACCCAATTCACCTGTACCGAATGTCTTTGGACTGTGGGGGAAACCGGAGCACCTGGAGGAAACCCACGCAAACACAGGGAAAACATGCAAACTCCACACAGAAACGCCAACTGAGCCAAGGCTTGAACCAGCGTCCTTCTTGCTGTGAGGCGACAGCACTACCTACTGCGCCACTGCATCCTCGCCATACAAATTATTTTGGATATTGTTATAGATTTGGTTATTTAGTTATAGATGTGTATATTGTTACGTTTCACGTATGTTTTGTTGCTTGTTTTCCGTTTTGCGTTCTCTTCTCTCTCGTTGTGTATCCTGTCATGTTTCATGTGTGCAACCATTGGTCGAGTGAGCTGTCAATCACCATCGTCACTCAATCAGCGCGCAAATAAGCATTGGATCCGCGCAGTATAAAAGCCATGTGCTTGCGCTGTTCTTGAGAAGCGCTTGGCTCACAGCCAGTCTCCTCAGTTGTGTCGGCCGGCGTGTTCACTTGTTTGCTTCGATTAGTTTGGTTGCGGTTGCTGTGTTCTAGTTTTCTCTTTATTGAGAGATTGATTTATTAGATGAACTTGTGCAGCTCAGATTATCGTCTAGTGAGAAGTTGAACAATCTTTATGAGAATTGGATTATATGAGATCTTGTTTTGCTAATAGCTAACAGTGTGTACTTTACGAGAACTCTAGTAATGTGAGCAGCTTAGGATAACTATGTGTTAGTTAATTAAAGGAGGCGTTGCCACATGTGTAATTATGTTTGGAAGTTATGAAGTGGAGATTTGCGCGGGACTAAATTTTGAATCCCGCTCCCGCCCACACCTGCCAGGTTTTAGCCCGAACCCGACCGCTCTCTCTTACATTCAGCATTTGTTGTCCCGCTGCCCGCCCCGCCCCGTTTTCTACCCGCCGTGCCCGATCCCGCTAAAGAGCAGGGAGGAGAACAAAACCGAAAACCATCGCGCTATTTCATTTACACACATACATACGGATGCTCGCTTGGGAGTCTGGAGCGATATCGCTAGACAGCCGGATCCCGTCCCAAATTAAACCCGTTACCAACGGCTCCCGCGCTTTATTCGGAAATTTATTTCCGCGCCGCAGAAATCTGGTCGGATCTGCAGACCTCTATTATGACGTTTGGTTAAGCTATAGCTGAAGATTACGGTTTTGTTTCTGCATTTTTCTTTGATCAGTCAGTTTAGTGGGTTGGGGTTTAGTTAGATCGTTTTGTTATGTTTATTTCTTTGTTTTGGCAACACTCCTGTTTTCTTTATTTAATTTGATTATTTAGAGTTACATTTACATTACATTTCCTATTCATTGTTTGACATTCTCTGTTTAATAAATACTTTTTGTTTCACTTAACAAGCGGTTACGTCTTCTCATTCATCCAGCATCAGTAGACTCATTGAATGTTACGTTTTATCCATTTCATTATTTAACAACTTAAACACATAACAATATATACTTCAGAGCAACAAGAAGTGCTCCAGGGTCAAATATGATTAAATGCTAACAGTCTTCTAGTCATGTTATCTGTAAAGGAAGTGTTTGAACCAGTCCCGTGCAGAGACCCTCAAAGGGGCATGTGCAGGACATAACATTTTTTATACAATATAAATATAAATTATATAAAATTAAAATAATTATTAATTAAATTAATTAATATAATATTAATTTATAATATTATTATAATATTAATTATTCATTTATAATAATAAATATTATTATTAATAATAATTATTATTTATATTATTTACAATTAATTATAATAAATAATTATAATATTAATTAATTAATATTAATTATTAATTTATAATAATAAATTATTATTATTATTAATAATTATTTATATTATTTATAAATAATTATAATAAATAATTATAATTAATAATTATATAATTAAATAATTTATTATAATTATTGGGGGGGGGGGGGGTTGATGGCGCGCGAAAATGGAAGAGGGGGGGTTGTCGCGCGAAGATTGAAGAGAGGGTGGCGAGGGGGAATTGTCGCACGTAACTTGAAGAGTGGGGGGGGGGTTGTCGCGAGAAAACTGAAGAGCGGGGAGGGGGGGGGGGGTGTCGCAGGAAAACTGAAGACCAGCGGGTATGGGGGGTGTCGCTAAGGCATTTCAAGATCACTTTGGACAGACACTTTCTATTCAAGACTAAAAAGGGCATGTGCACTGCACAGGTTGAGACCTATGTGTGCACGTGCCTGGTTTGAACGTTGAATGAAGATTCCCAACCTACAGATTAATTATTTTTGCCATTTGTAATAAAGCTTTAACATATTTATAGTTACAAATGTACAAAATATCTCAAGTGAACAGGATTTTCCCTTTAAACTTCGCTAAAAAATATACAGTAGTCAACATTTGAAGTGGATGAAATTATTGTGCATAAAAAATGATTATATATCTGCGCAGTATAAGACTCCAGGGTCACGTACGTCTTGTTGTTATGTCATGTTTTCTGAAAGGAAGTGTTTGAACAACTGTCTTCCAGTTATATAACAGAACTGCTGCATGTTTGTCATATTAGCTGTGCTATGACTGATGTCTGAAACCTGTACATCAATCATGTGCTCAGAGCGTATCGTCATCTGTATTCCCAGCAGCCACGTGTTTGTCAGATTAGAAATCTGACATCACGTTCAGCCCTGAAGCCCGTAGTTTAACCACAACACAGGTTGAGTTTTGCTTTGTGTTGTGAAGCGCTGCACCACTAGTTATGGATGTTACATATTGAGAAAAAGATCTTGTGTCCCATTTGTTGTCTATAAATTTCAATACATCCTTGTAAATATATGTTTGCTATATACATATTTTTGCATTTACTATTATCACAATCTTTGTCTACATTATAGTGTTTTGTGGTTGTGTAATGGCTATATATAAGGCTATATAAAGAGAGAATGAGGAGTAGGGCGGGATGTCATTCCTACCGGTAAATGTGCGTTTCATGTTATGTGTGATACGAAAGTGAAAGCATGCTGAACTATTACAGAGAGCTGTTTATCTGTCAGGACAATTGACAGAAATTACCATGTGATAATTTTTCCATATTTCAATCTTATAATATTCTGTATTAGGCCTGTTGTTTTGTTCATTTCTGCACACCTCGAAAGAAAGATCAATATTAATCTGCTTCATGATCTGACTGCAGTCTTGCTTCATCTGTTATTGCTCTCTATAATTTAACATAATGCATCATTCTGGCCAACATTTATTTATTTTTATTTTTTTAAATTTGTTTTTTTTTTTTTTTTTTTTACAAAAGATTGATTAATTTAATGGTTTTAAAATAAGCTTCCCCTGCTCACCAAGGCTGCATTTGTTTTTTTTAAAGATTAATTTTTAGCTTTATAACTCCAGTCTTCAGAGTCACATGATCCTTCAGAAATCACTCTGATATTAATTATCATTATTATTAATATTATTGTTATTATTATTAATGGTAAGAGTAATAACTATTTAAAACTACAAACAATAAGAAAGCAGTAATTTAAAATGTTAATAAACAATTAACAATAAAATTTTTTTTTACATTTAATAAATGTCGCCTTGATGAACAGAATAATTTTCTTTAAAAAAAAAAATGAAAAAATTAATAAAACTGACGGCAAACTTTTGATCGGTAGTGTGTAATTATATATATATATATATATATATATATATATATGCACGCACGCGCACACACACACACGCGCGCACACACACACACACGCGCACGCGCACACACACACACACACACACACACACACACACACACACACACACACTCAAGTGTATTTACATCACAATTGTATTTTTTTTTAATTTTCAGTTGTATTTAAAGAAAAGTTATGCTGAATAAAAAGTGTATGTATTACAATTATATTTGGCTTTTGACACATTATTCAAAATACTGTACATGGCTAAGAAATAGCTATTCATTTCTTTTTTTTTTTTTTTTTTTTTGGGGCCAGTGAAAATTTTGGCAGATTAAGTAAAAATCTGAACTGGAAAAATGCTTAACATTGAACCCTGTATGTGTGAGTGATTAAGTCTGACAGACATTATATAGGAGTTTCAGGTTATGTGTTAGTGTTGGTAACATGTGCCGTGTTTTCTGACAGTGAAATACATTACTTCTGCAGTGCATACCTCATTGTGTTCCAGACAGGCGATCATGATCTCGGACAGGATGACCACACCGGTGCGTCCCACGCCCGCGCTGCAGTGCACCAGCACCGGCAGGTTTGTGTTCTTTGGGTCGCTGGAACTGTTGGTGTGTCGCCTCACAGACTGGATCTCCTCCAAATACGCTAAGCACACAGAAACGGAGGCGTTTCAAGAGCCACGCCAAAACAAAACACACTGAGAAGAGGCCCAGCGTAGAGAGACGCCACAGCTGCATTATAACCAGCCCAAAATACTGCTCCACCAGGCATTATGAGTGTGTGAGTGTGTGTGTGTGTGTGTGTGTGTGTGTGTATTACAAAGACTGAAAAAAGCTAGGCTCGGTTAAACAACACTTTGGAAATAAGAATTAAAAGAATAAAAAAATCATCTTTAACATCATATATATTTTATATATGGCCTTTTAATAATGTTTTTGTGGCACTAGAGAATTAATTAGAGCAAAATATGATGCTAAGAATGAAAAGATTATAGGGGTGTAACGATACACTCAGCTCACGATACGATGTGTATCACGATATAATGTTCACGATTCGATATGTATCACGATATTTGGAATAAAAATTGAAAGTTAAACTGAAATGCAAATTTTACCAAGTAAACTATTTTTTATGTATTTCTTTTGTTTCAACTTGTTAAACTAAACCTTCTTTAAGAAAATAAATTAAACAGGCCTGTCTCTGGAAAATAAAACAATTAAAAAACTTCTTATAAAATATTGAAATGACAGAGACAAAATTAAGGAACAATTTAAGTAAAGGTGCAAAAAAAAAGCTTTCTATTCAATTGAATTTAACAGTAAGAGCTTAAGGCTTTGCTTGGTCACTTGCGTTTTTTGTCCACATTTCCAGGTATTTAATTCATATTTAATTAAAATCATTTAGAGATATCTCTAATTACAATTGTGACTAGTCAAAACTCATTTAGAGATATCTGCAAATATTTTTCAATGGAAGTCAATGGAGGAATATGACTAGTCATAATATACTTGCAGATATCCCCAATCTGATTTCGTACTAGTACAATTGTAATTGCAGATATCTCTAATTGTCATTCTGACTAGTCGAATTATAATTATGACTAGTCAAAATATAATTAGAGATATCTCTAAATATATTTATGGATAGTCAGAACAAAGGTTTAAATGCTAAAACGGCTTGCCATACGCGCGCGTCTATCATAGTCCGCCCTCTGTAGTAACAGCTCACGGTCAGCTCATGTCATGTGTGATTTTGCGGCCGCCAATACATCATTATATGAAGACAGAATGATATTTTAGGGTGAATTGTACCTTATAAATACAGTATGTGACTCTTTCAACACCATTAGGAGGTTTCCATGTCGCTGTGCAAAGTATGTAAATCGCTGTGAAGACTTTAAAACTTAGGATGTTTGACCCAGTATGCGTGTCAAAAAGCGGATGAGTCTAAAGCAATGACTGTACAACCGAAATGTTAATGCTAACATTACTGCTGCTGCAATCTGAACTCGCGTGCGACAGCAGGTGGAACGTAGCTCACGTGCAAACAGCTCAACTAATAAGATAAAACGCACGTCATATCGTAATCAAATCGTCAAAACGCCACGATGTATATTGTGATATTTTTGCATCGCAATAAATAAATCGTACAACGATAAATCGTTACACCCCTAAAAGATTACTATCATTTTTCTTTCTGTGGTTTCCAAAAACCAAGAAATGTGCCTATGAACTACATCAGAAAAGGATCATTTATCTGCACATCCATTGTCTGTTTCAGTGCTGTACTTACAGAGAAAGCCTTTAAAGTCCTCAGGGCAGCCGTGATCGGGCCAGTCGGTGTACTGCAGGTGCCAGACGGTCCTCTCCTGCCCCGTCAGTAGATGCTTGATCTTCAGGCCGGTGGTGGCGTAGCAGCCCGAGTCTGTGCGGAAGCGTGTGGTGATCTTGAAGCGTCCGTATGTAACAGTGTTGTGTCGAGAGCCCAGACGAGGCCAGTAGCGGAAACTCTTCTCACGGCCTCCTTCCTGCAGAACAAAAACACAAACCCATTTTAAAGGCCAGGACACACACCAGGCTGACACCAAATACAGCGGGGTAAATAAGTATTGAACACGTCACCATTATTCTCAAAAAAACATATTTCTAAAGGTGACATTTACTTGAAATTTAACCCAGATGTTAATAACAACTAAAGAAATCCATATGTACAAAGAAAACTTAACTAATTAATTTATAATTAAAATGACGCAGGAGAAAAAGTATTGAACACATGAAGAAAGGGAGGTGTGGAAAGGCAGTGAAAGCCCAGACAGCAGCTGAAATCTCTCAGTAGTTACAATTTAAAGGGTTAATCAGATAAAGCATAACCCAACACGTTTTCCACTGTGCATGCATATTTTCTACTTCACCTCCTCTGCTGTAACCATTGCGATGATGGACACTCCTTGTTCCCAAACCATCTGCCAGAAATCCTGACAGGTGCTGGAAAGCGGACCCTG